TGTACGGAGATGGACAAATGGGCATGAGAAGGGAGAGAGGTAAAGAGATAGGATTGGCTGTGTGGGTAGATACCAGCTGGACCCAGACAAACAGGGTATGTCTATACTACAGGGTTTGGTCGACAGAAGTTTTGTCGACAGATAGGGTACGTCTAGACTACAGGGTTTTGTTGACAGAAGTTTTGTCAACAGATACTGTCGACAAAGCTTCTGTCGACAAAGAGCATCTAGACTACATTCAGTTCTGTCGACAAAGCAAGTTGCTTTGTCGACAAAACCCTGTAGTCTAGACACAACCCTACATGCAATAACACCTTCTGTCGACAGATCTCTGTTGACAGAAGACGTTATGCCTCGTAAAATGAGGTTTTCCAGCGTCGACAAAACTGCTGAGTTCTGTTGACGTTATGTTGACAGAACTCAGTGGTAGTGTAGACACAGGTATAGTTTTGTTGACAAAAGTGGACTTTTGTCGACAAAGCTCTGTAGTCTAGACACACCCATACTGTCGACAAAACTTCTGTCGACAAAGAGCATCTAGACTACACCCAGCTCTGTCGACAAAGCAAGCCTCTTTGTCGACATAACAGTGTGGACGCAAAGGACAATATAGATGCAATAACGCCTTCTATCGACAGAACTCTGTCAACAAAAGGCATTATTCCTCGTAGAATGAGGTTTACATACGTTGTCAAAACTGCTGAGTTTTGTCGACGTTATGTTGACATAACTCAAAGGCAGTGTGGACGCAGGTATAGTTTTGTTGACAAAAATCCACTTTTGTCGACAAAACCCTGTAGTCTAGACACACCCTTGGTGCCTTCTTTTGTTGACAGAGTCTCCAGCAGTCTGGACGCTCTTTGTTGACAAAGCAGATCGCTTTGCCTATCCGCATAATTCAGTCTAGACACTTTTTGTTGACAGAAGCTTGGTCGACAGATTCTGTCGACAAAACTTCTGTCAACAAAAGCCTGTAGTCTAGACATACCCACAGTGAATAGCATTCTCCTTGGTCTCCTTGATAACCCGTTGCCCAAGGACATCCTGAGACGCAGCTCTCAATTTTAAACTCATTTTATTTTGGCTCCAACACTCGATTCCTGTCTAGGTTGCACGTTTAATGTAGGATGGGCAGAGAGATTCTTTTCCCTCACCTGAGTCCATTGGGATTAGCTCTTGGGGTACTGCCCAGCTACACTTCCCTACGCCCCACCATGCACGAGCAAATCCAATCCCAGCCATGAGAGGTGGAGGGATACGGACATGGGGTTGGGTTCCACTTCCAATGCAGCTGCTCCCTGAGGACACTCGGTGAAGTCCTCTGCCCTCCCTGCTCGGGGACAGGCAGGGCTAATGCCTTTCCATGGACATTCTCCAGCCTCATGCTGCCGGGGGGTGTGGCTCCTCCAGGAGGGATCACATAAGGTAGGAGCTAAACAGGGCTTAAAAAGGACAGAGGCCATGAAGAGGAAGGAGTAATCCAGAGCTGGGCACTCACCACACCTGGGGACACAGAAAGCAGAGAGGTTCAGCTGGTGCTGCTGTTGGGGTCATGGGCAGCATCCCACCCTGAGAGAGCAAGGCCAGAAGGGACCATGGGACCTGCTGCTTCGCCGGGACAATGGAGCCTCCCCCAGCCAGGCCTGGCCACCGCCAGGACGTCTCCACTGAGCTAGAACCAGACTTGCGGAGACTCCCACCGGGCACCACACGACCATTCCCTGTGGAACCAGCATGGTCTCAACCGCCTGCTTCTGGTCCCAGGCCCACTGACTCAGCACCAGTCATTGCTATAAGCCATGAAGTGCGACCAGGCAGGCGACTGAGGCTCTCACCTTAAACAGCGTGACGCCGGTGCTGTACATCAGGCTGAGCAGGAATAGCGTGATGAAGGTTACGGGCGTCCAGAGAGGATCCGATTCCCCCTCTCCTCCTTCAGCACAAACCCCTGGATCCTCCACCAGGCAGAGAGGCGCTGGGGAAGGGATAAACAGGGCAATTAGGGTACGTCTAGACTACAGGCTTCTGTCGACAGAAGTTTTGTCGACAGATACTGTCGACAAAACTTCTGTCGACAAAGAGCGTCTAGACTACATTGAGTTCTGTCGACAAAGCAAGCTGCTTTGTCGACATGGTAGTGTAGATGCAAAGGACAGTTTACATTCAATTACACCTTCTGTTGACAGAAACTCTGTCAACAGAAGGTGTTATGCCTCGTAAAATGAGGTTTACCAGCGTCGACAAAACTGCTGATTTCTGTCGACGTTATGCAGGTATAGTTTTGTCGACAAAAGTCCACTTTTGTCGACAAAACTCTAGTCTAGACACACCCTCAGAGAGTCCTGTTCCTTAACTCCTATTCTGGGGGCCTGTGGAATTTGCCCACTGAGCCTTTCCGAGACCTTCCCTGTTTTGTATCATCCTACCGTGGTCCTATGAATGGGGAACTAGAATGGGACATGGGAGCCCTGGGTTTGTCCGTGCTCTCTCTGACATTGTAGGACCTCATAGAATTCTCTTCTCCGCTCTGTGCCTCAGTTTCCCTCAATACTCCATGTCTCTTTGGACTTGAAGCTTGTCTGTGCATAGACCAGATGTTATGTGTGCACAGCTCCGAGTGCAACTGGGAAGGGGCTCCCCCTTTGGACTCCATTCCCACATGTGTTCCTAGAAGGGGAACAATTGATGTCGCATCCCCACCTTTGGGCAACGCCAGCCTTTGTCCAACATGGATGGGGTGAGACTTTCCAACTCCAAACAAGGAGATTCCTCTATGACCAGGAGATGGATGACCATAAGGACCACCTGGTCTCACTTTCTGCATCCAGACCAGAGAAAACCACCTTCTGATCTCAGAATCCTGCTCAGAGACACCTCCAGAGGGTCTGGGAAGGAACCTTCTGTTCTGCAGCCTATACAGGCACTGGACCTACAGCATCCCTCACCTGAATCCTCCATCCCTGATGTACAATGACCTTTCCCCTCCATGAGCTCTCCAAAAAGGGGAAAAATTATGGTGACACCTTCAACTACATTCCTGTAAAGTCTGTTTCCTGATCAGGCATTTTGAGTGCAGAAGGTGGGGGCAGGCAGGAGACCTTAAATTACCCTGCCACTAAAGGCTGCTGTGTAAAAACTCCCCAAGGTCTCAGCTTCTGTGACCTTCGGTACTACGCTGCCACCACTCAAATGCAAAATCCCCTGGAAAGACAGGAAGCCGTACGTGGGAACTTCATTCCATGGGGTAACCCCCAGCTCTTTCAACCTCCCTCAGGAGAGAACGTGAAAACAAACCATAGTCCCCGAATAGCTGACCTTCAGTTCAGACACATGGACACAGAACCTCCTGCATTCTAGGATACGGAAGTCAGATTATAGTCTTAAACAGGAGATTGTATTAACAAACAAAAATTATATATTTAAGAAAGCCTACTTGGGTTCTAGGTGATACAGAGCATCTAAAACAGATTAAAGTGTACAGAGTAGATTCTCTGGGATTCACTTTCAATTACAGGAAGTCTTAAATCAGCTCATAAAAGTCATGCAAACCAAGAAAAAAAAAGAAGCAAATAAGCAGATTGCATCTAACTAAACATTCCCTGCTCTACTCAGATCTCTTTGGTTTTAAAGTTCTGGTTTTCTTTTCTTAGACATGCTCAATCCATTTCTCTCCCAGCTCCTCTCTGAACTCACACACAAAGGAGACCATAGCAGGCAAAACCTGTTTCGTTTTCAATTTCTCCCACCCTCTTCCCATTGGCTCCCAGCCAAAACTTCCTGGATACCCACTGGTCTGGACTGAATCCTTAAGACATAGAATGATGGGATGTTTAGAAAAGGGGAGGACCCCTCCCAGCCATCATGGCCCCATATTGGTAGGACACTGGAAGCAGAAGTGACTCATCTTTCACTTGTGGTGACTCTGCAGTTAACTGTATGCACAAATCTCCAAGCCCCATTAATAGTTCCTTGAACCTTGAGACACTATTATAGTGTCTTTTCCTTGAGATACAATTATAGTGTCATGGGGCGTGAGTAAAGACCTCTCCCAATTCATTGCATTTGGTAGGAGCCCAGATTTTGCTAAGCCTGCCCATGTGTCTTCTCAGCAGCATGAAGACCAACTGGGAAAGAGCTTGAAGATCCCACAACACTGACCAGAGACCTGCTGCCTACACCTGACCTGCTGTTGTCAGTGTCCCAGCCAGTTAGTCACATCAAGGAGCCCAGATACACCAACATCACACGGGCGACAGCCTCAGGAAGCCCGGTAGGATGTGTCTCAGGGAGAGGAAGTGAGTGGTATCTCCCACTCTTGTGAAGTTAGTGTGTTGTGTTTGGATTCCTTCCTGACTCAATGCCAGACCACTCCGCCCCTCAGGTATCCTGGGTCAGAACCCAGGGGAGTCAGGTGGACCGAGGTCTCCCTGTCCTGGCCATCACCCCCTCTGGTGACAGCCCCCAGAGATGGCCATTACTCTACAATTTCCTGCACCTGAGGGCTCCTCTGTTGACACCGATCTCTGTTGACCCTTCATTCAAAGGTTGCCTTATTGACTCTGTCCACTAGGCCATGCTGCCCTAAACTCATAGGCCACTCTCTTGCCTCTGGCCCCTACAACACACAATCCTGAACTTGAGGGCTAAAATATTGACTGCACCAGACTGTATTCATTGGCAGCCATCTGGTCTTGGATCATTAGGCCACACCGTTGAGTATCTAAGGGCCAATGCTTAGACCGTGGCCATTGGGCCACATTATGGTTTGGCCTGCCAAGAAAAGTCAATTCTCGTGGACTGTATCTGCAGTGTCAGCACAACCCTGATCCACCCCGAATAAAGATGGGATCCCAGCATCCGACAGAGGCTGAGGGACAACAAGAACCTAAGGCTGATTCGTGGTTAATAGCCATTGATTGACCGATTCTCCGTGAACGGATCTGATTCCTCCCTGAACCCTGTTATACTTTTGGCCCTCCCAGCATCCCTCGTCTACCCATCTGCAGTGGTACAAGAAGAAGGACCGGCTTGTGGTACTTTTAAACCTGCTGCCATTAAATTTCAATGGGAGATCCCTGCTGTTTTTGTTTTGCTGAGACTGTTCCTGCCCTACCCACCATGATGGAACCCTCACCTCGTTCAGGACATCGAGGGGTTTCAACAACATGACTGAGGGATGGGAAGGTACAAAGATGACACTACCTGAGGATGGATGCATGTAGAGAGGACTTTGCATCATTTAGCACCTACGGAGAGATGGATATTGTAGAGCCATAGATTCAGTTACTGTGGAAAGATGTCTGGTTGGCTGGCTGGCTGGATCTTAAGATGGTTGGTTGGATGTATGGATGTGTGGGCAGGTAGATAGATGTGGGAACGTGTCTGAGAATGGATGGATGGATGGATGGGTCTGAGGAGGGATGGATGGAGGACATAGAAATGGTAGGGGTTATTTAGTGGATGGAGTGATGGATGCACGGATCGGTCTGTATGGTGATAAAGGGGCAGGTAGGTAGGTGTGGGAATGTGTCTGAGAATGGATGCATGGATAGATGGAAGGATGGATAGGTCTGAGGATGATGGATGGGTGGATGGATGGATACTGTAGAATAATGAAAGGAAAGAAATCATGCATAAGGAACTGAGAATGGCTAGAAAGAAGAAAGGGCTGATGGTTGATTACTACATATTGGTGGGGCAGGAAGGATGGGTGGATACACCAGGAGACACAGAGGCAAGAGCTGATAGGTGATAACCCTTCATCAAAAAATTAGGGCTGTTTCATTTTTATTCAGCCATATTCCACACATAGCCATTTTTCATACGCCAGAGCTCCCCCGGTTTTACCCGCATTGTAAGAGGAATGTGAGATGCCATGAGGACCGGGGGCCATCTCCCATACACCCTGAGAACCCCACAGGGCTCTGCTCATCAGTGGCAAGTGACATCGGTGTCGGACAAGACCACAGAGACATTGACGGCGGTGGGTTTCCCGGAGGCCTTGTCCACGCTCCGTTGGGTGAAAATCTTGGGCAGGCCTTCATGCGCCACCATGCAGGAGTAGGTGTCCCCCTTCTGCCATTCAGAGGCCTGGATTCTGAGCTTGCTATAGATGAAGTAGCTCTCCTCCTCCCCAGCCTCCCGCATGGGGCTAATGTTGGTGTAGGCTTCTTGCGGAAGGGGCCGGTCCTTCCGGGTCCATGTCACCAAGATGTCTTTGGGCCGGAAGCCGGAGGCCAGACAGGTGATGGTGGCCCATTCCTGGAGCGCCAGCTCCTCCGCATGAGGAGGGGAGACGTAAACAGAAGGGGCCCGGAGAGAGACCTCTGCCACAAGGAAACACCAGTTAATGGTGGGAAAGCGACCCAGGAATCATGCCTGCCTCTATTCCATGCTCCTCTGTGCCATTAGACCCCCACCCGTGCCCTGCAGAGCCACGGATACAATGCAGCAGCTCTAGTCCTACTAAGCCTCAAGAGCTATATAAATTGCATGAAAAGAGGCTAGAACCAGGGGTCATGTCTCCAAGTCTTGTTGATCTAACCCATCACAACCCACTCCCCTTTCAAAGCTGGAAAAACAACCCAGGATCCCTGACTTTTTCTGCCCTGCTCTCATTTCATCCCACCCACACATTTCTAACTCTCAGTCCCACCAACCTGCAGCTCGACCTAGATTCACAAGGCCCCATGGAGAATTCCCCAGCCTGGAGCCATATTAGACCTGGCATCTCCTGCAGGGCTTACCGAGACTTTTGTGGATAGTCTTGACCTCTGCTGATGGGATGTCTTGGTGCTTCACAGTGCAGGTAAACTCCTCCCCAGCCTGCCACTCCTCCACGCACACCCGCAGAACGCTGGCTGCACTGTAGGTGCCATTTGGATGCAGCACTGGCTCCCTGTGGTCCTCCGTCAACAGGCCTCCATTTCCCTTGCTCCAGGAGATCTCCAGGCTGCTGGGGCTCTCCATGCCACTCACCACACAAGTGATGGTGGCGTTCTGCCCAACATAAAGTTCCTCCAGGGATGGGGGAAGGAGGAAGACCTTTGGAAGGGGTCGATGACAGTCGCTGCCACCTGGTTGGGGGCGGGAGGCAGTGTTGAGGGCTGGGCTGAGTGAATTCTCACTAGGCATCTGGTGGATATTGAGCACCTTTCTCTCAGTGCTTCAAAGCCCAGGGGCTGTTTGGGGAAGGGGCTAAGGTGACTGGGGTAGGAAGTAGAGTTTGGGGCTCCCAGATGGAAAAGAGAGGATCTTCTTTTTCTAGGGCATCAGAAAAGCTGTCTAAGGATGTCCTACACACCTAGGGGCTTGGATTCCTGGGTCCCATAATGGTTCGTTAGCTCTCTGCCAACTCATGAGCACATTGCAACAGCTCCAGCTGTACTGGCAGAACGCCCCCTTGTAGTTAACACAGCAGTGGATAGAGCTCCCTTGTTTGATCTGCTCAAGGGCCTTCCAGAGTGAAATTCATGAGGTCCATGGACATCCCCAACACAATGAGTGGCTCCCCATTTCTCAGCGAGGTCAGGTGGGGCTTAGAACAAATGTCCACGCCCAGAGTCTAGACCGTCCTCCTCTTAACACTAGACCCCATCCCACACCCAAAGCTCTGGAGGGAACTCACCTCCTCTATGCCTCTACTCCCTGCACAGGCAAAAGGGCCACTTACATTTCACCCCCATTGTCCACCAATGGCCCATAGGGCATGAGTCCCTCAACTCTCACAACAAGCCAATGGGGGAAGGGAGAGCTTGAATCCCTATGGAAACCCCAGGAGGGAAGCCCAAAGAATTGCCCACAGAATCGCAACCCTGGCCTCCAGGGACAATCTCCTCCAGTGAATGTTGCATGCAGCACACGTTTGATGTCATTTGTTCATATTGTTGGCAATGTGGCTGGTGGTGATGAGATACCAGATCCATGTGGACCCTCACATCCCATGATGGGGCAAAGGATGGATAGGAGCAGTTTCTAGCCTTAGCTTCCCTGCATCGGTTAGCTTCTGAATCCCATCTGGATTCAACCCTACCGCAGATAAGCTTTTCCAGTAGAATAGATTGTCATTCACTGCCTCTAGAGGCTGCAGATCCATGAAGGCACCTGCCCAGGTGCCATACTCCAACGGGGAGAATGAGCTGGACTATGAGACCAAAATTGTAAACCTCCCTCTACAGGAATCCCTGTCTCAGTGTGAAGCATTCCCAGAAAAGACCTGTGACTCAGAAGGAAAGCAATGTTTCCGTCAACCCACGCCCAGCCGTGACATGTCTCCAAAAGCAAGAGCATCCACCCAAGGTCATGGCCAAATCACAGCCCAACGAGACTGCATGCTGGTCCCTCCCTGAAATTCCCCCTAGCATAAAGGACAGTTTTACTGCACTTCCTTTAGTGGTGATGGGTCCTGGAGGTTGTGGAAGATCTCCTTCAGGGGTAGGTTGAGATCCCCACTGCTTTGGACATTTCAGTCTGGATAATGCCCTTGCGGAGTAGGGAACTCGCCTGAAATAATCCCACATAACTCAGGTTTCAATTAATCTTGCACTCCTGGGTTTCCCCAAAGATGGCTTCATAATGGATGTAGAAATCCGTCAGTGAGGCCATCCCCCCAAGCCAGGACACTTTTGGACTCAAGCACTTGCTCATGCCATTGGCTGGATGAGACAACAAAGCATGCAGACATCCCCAAATTAACCCCTGCCTCTGAGAATCCACTTACTAAAGGACACCTTTTCCTCCACTCTCTTGGGCTCCTCCAAGGCTGGGTGATGCACTATGCAGGTACAGTTTTCTGTTCCTTCGTTTCGATTGACCTTCAGGATGCTGTAGGCCGAGAAGGTGCTACTTCCTGCCACAGGGACATTGTTGTAACTGGCCGTGAGTTCTGGGGAGTTATCCTTCAACCAGGAGATGCTGATGTCTTCGGGATAAAAGCCACTAGCTTCACAGATGAGAGTCAAGGACTCTTTGGTCCCCGAGAGATTTTCGTGGTAGGCTTTTGAGATGGTGATGGAAGGCTCTTTCTTAGCCATGTCTACATCAAAAGGAAGAGGGGAAAGGCAAGAATAACGCTTGGGTGCACATCCAAGTTAAGAATAATAGAATCATAGAATGATAGGACTGGAAGAGACCTCAAGGGATCATCAAGTTCAGTCCCCTTTTCAGAGCAGGACGAACCCCAACTAAACCATCGCACCCAAGGCTTTGTCAAGTTGAGACTTAAAAGCCTCTAGGGATGGAGATTCCACCGCCTCCCTAGGGAACCTATCCCAGTACGTCACCACCCTCCTAGTGAAATAGTTTTTCCTAATATAAAACCTAGACCTCCCCCACTGTAACTTAAGCACTCAGATCAAGCCACTGTCATTCTGTAAAGTGACCAGGGAGAACCAAACTTCAGGGAGGAAGTGAAGCTAGACCACACCAACCCAACCACTAAGAATCATTTTCTGGGAAACTAAGGACCCAGATCTTCATCCAAAAATTCAACTAAACATGCACGTCTTCTCCTTTTTTGGCATTCTGATGTTATTTCTCTTGTCCTTCTTCAAAACGATCATTGACTTCGTTGTCATGAACAACATTTCAATCTCCTTCACGAGCATCAATACGCTCCTCACCCTCAGGTGAGTTTTACCGTTACACAGATGGCCAACAATTGACAATGACTAGAGTTTGCCTTTCCCTTTGTGATGCCAAGCCTCCTCACCTTTATTGACCATGGTTATCTCCTGGGCGAGTTCTCCAGAACAGAGCGTGCTCACTTTGCAGGTAAATCTGGTCCCTTGTCCCCACTGTGCCTGCGACACTGGGTGGGAGCTGACCAGGCTGGTGGTCCCATTGTTGTTCTTCTCGGGGGGTTCTGTCTTCCCTGCAGAGCTGACTTTCCCCTCCACTTGCCAGGTGATGGTGGTGGCTGCTAAGTCGTAACCCAAAACTAGACAGGTCAGATGACCGGATTTCTTGATCACGTCTTCATAGGAGGGTTTGGCCAAGTAGATGGTTGGTCTGAGTTTGCTTTTGGGGCAGGCTGAGAAATGCAAAGAGAGCAGTATCAATAATGTGGAAAGGCAAAAAAAGGACCCTGAACCCCTCCCTGACTGTGGAGAGCAGCCCATTTCGCTACCCCGACCAGCCTTGAAAAAACAATGAATTTAGAACAAACAACATTGTTTAGAAATGCTTAAGGATGCACCAATGCTCATCCCAGCCACCCACACCCTGAATGGCATGGAAAGCCCAGGAGAAGAGGCTCCTTTTATCAGGTGCTCATTCCCTAAAGCACTGCGGAGAATGTACTTGTTCTATCTACTTAAATTAATGGAGATTGCTTCTCTCCTACAACAGAAAAGGACCTTGAAAGGTCATCAAGGTTTCACAGCAGGACCAAGTACCACGCTGACATATTTTTGCCCCAAATCGCCTCCACAAGGATTGAATTCACAACCCTGGGTTTAACAGGCCAATGCTCAAACCACTGAACTATCCCTCTCTTCCCTACTTCTATCAGGTAATGACAAAAAAAGTCTACCCCAGCAATTAGACTAGCAAGAGACTTCAGGAGGTATTCTCCACTCTTCAACTATGAACTGGAACAAGATTCATCCAGGAGACTTCAAATTATCCATCTCTCCACCCCCTCCACAACATGTACAGCAACCATCCAATCCTGCTCTTTCCATCCATCCATGGTGCGGACCTCTTTATCATGTCTCCACCTCTCCCGTCACCCTGGGGTCTAGGAGCCGCCCAACCTATCCATAGGCAGGGATGGCTTCTCAATAACTCTCCATGCCCCATTCCCACTCATGGCGGCTGTAGCCCCTCACCCAAGCACTTGCTGGTGTTGTACATGGAAGGCTTCGTTCCCCAGGCTGGATGAGTCACATGGCAGGTAAAGAGGTCCCCGTTCTCCCAGCTCTGCTTGCTGATGTTCAGACGGCTCTGGCTCATGTAGGAGCCATCTGCACCCATTGCAGAGGAGAAGACCAGGGTGGGGTGACTTGTCTCCGTTCCATTCATGAGCCATTTCACCTCGGCTTTGTTGGGTTGGAAGCTGAGGAGAAGGCAAACCAGCTCCAGATAGCTCCCTGTGAGGTCATCCTCACAGGAGGGGAACAGGAGGCGAACCTCAGGCGCAATCATAGGACCACAGGCTGCAAAGAGAGAGGGGGGACAACATAGACCAGTGTCACTCTCTGTACATCACGGTCCCCTTCCAGGGAGACAGTGCTAATGACTCAATTCCTCATTGTAGACAGGTCCCTACCCACCCCTTATATTGAGGCTGCTCTTGTGTTTTAGCTCAATGTTGAGAAGTTTCCTAATTCTGAGAAGGGAAATCCCTGCAGGAGAATTAGGGAACATGCAGGAAAGATGGGAAAGAGGGGAGGATGGTAAAACCCCGCCAGTTGGCTGAATGTTGAAGGGGAACCTTGTGACTGGGACTTCTTGCTCAGGGTTGCACTGGTCTTGCTTAGATTTCTTGCGTATGAGCAAACTTGGCCTTGGATTTTTGTGAAGAATGCACGTACCAAAGCAGACATTTTTCACAACACTCTTGGGCTCACGCTGGGCTGGGTGATGCACCAGGCAGGTGTAATTTCCTTCTCCTTCGCTTGATTCAACTTTCAAGATGCTGTTGGCTGAGAAGGTGTCACTTCCTGTAACTGGGCTATTGTTGTAATGCGACTTGAGGATCGGGGAGTTGTTCTTCAACCAGGAGATGCTGATGTCTTCCGGGAAAAAGCCACTCGCTTCACAGGTGATAGTCAAGGACACTCTGTTTCCTGCGTTGTCTTCTTTGTAGACACTTGAGATGGTGATGGAAGGCTCCTTCATAGTGATGCCTACGTGAAAAGGAAGAGAGGCAAGAAAACTTTAAGACTTGGTTACACATCTAAGACTCATATCCAACAACTATCACTCTGTAAAGAGACCAGGGAGTGGAAAAGTTCAGGATCAGTGTGACGCTAGACCAGGCAGAAGAAAAACCCAACCTTCCTTCAAACTCAACCCTGGGATCTTCTCCCAAAGATGCACCTGAAATCTCACAATGAATCTTTAGATCCTCATCCTTAAATGGCAACAACTTAACTTCAACTTTGTCTGTCTTCATTACTGTCATATTCAATTTCTTCACTTCCCTCATCTACATAATCACATCCTTCCTAATCACCTTTGACTCCTTCAGGTTTATTATCAGCATCTTCCTCTTTTTTCCATCGTCTTCTTCAGCATTCCAATGTTCTTTCTCTTTCTTCTTCAGCCTGTTCACTGCCTTTCTCATCCTCATAGACTCCATTTTCATTGCATATCATGAACATGCACCTCAACCTCAGATTGTCTTTGTAGGAGTAAACTGAGGCAGTCCAGGGTATTTTGCTACGAACCCCTATTCTATCCTAAGTTTGAGGCAGGCCAGGGAACACACAACACAAGCAGCTAACATGACCCTGGTTACCCTGACAACCACATTCCAAGAGGTCCTGACTCCAATATGACCCAGGCTGGTACCAAAACAAAGTTTTGTGGAAGTTGTTCTCACTGTCTCTTTTAATCCTAGATAATAAGCCTGGGACCCGAGGACCACGCGAATGCGAGGCAATATCACCCTGCAGTAGACGCATCGTAATTTCAGCAGACAAAGCTGCCGTTAACATATCTATTTTGTTTATGTTGGCTTATTTAGCTTGTGAGGATTAACTACCTGTATTATTGATAAGATGTTTAATTGGCGATGGGCAGAGATACTGTGTAACCTTCGTAGTTTATTGGCTTATGTGCTCATTCTATCTTGCTGCTAAAACCTATGAAATTGCTTCTCCTCCGTCCATCTGCTGCCTATATAATCTATTGTAATGTTTTGATTAACTAGTGTTCATCAGGTTATGCCCTGAGGAACAATCCACCAGCTGTGGGCAATAAATCCTCTACTTGTTTTCACCTGCTTCCAGAGTGTCCATGAAATAAGGGATAAGGGATCTTTCAGAAAAGGCTTTATTTTCTGCAAGATCAGCGTCTAGACTGGCACTTTTTTCCAACAAAGCTCCATGCAGAAAAAAAGTGGCAGCCATTTTATGCTAATGAAGCGGGGGAGATTCAAATCCCCGCTTCATTAGCAATTGCGATACGTCTAATTTACATCCCTTTTACGAAAAAGGGATGTAGTCTGGACGTAGCCCATATGGAGATGGGCATGGGGTGTTAAGCTATTTCTGCATCCCAAACCTTGAACCTAGCTCTTTCCTCTTTGCCAGATGACTGCCATGCAACATTTTCCTATTGGGCCAACAAAGGAGTCTCTGATCATCTTCAAGCACTCACGGCAAAATTCAACACAAATCAACATAAATTATGTCTGAACTACACCTCTGTGCTCAGGTCTTAGGCTTCCCTGAAATCCAATTTCAGAGACTTAATTGGGACACCAAGGGTATGTCTAGACTACAGGGTTTTGTCAACAAAAGTGGACTTTTGTCAACAAAACTAGACCTGTGTCTACACTGCCACTGAGTTCAGTCGACATAATGTTGACAGAACTCAGCAGTTTTGTCAATGACTGTAAACCACATTCTACGAGGAATAACGCCTTTAGTCGACAGAGTTCTGTCGACAGAAGGCATTATTGCATCCACACTGTCCTTTGCGTCTATACTGTCATGTCGACAAAGCGGCTTGGTTTGTCGACAGAACTGGATGTAGTCTAGATGCTCTTTGTTGACAGAAGCTTTGTTGACAGTATCTGTGGACAAAACTTCTGTCGCCAAAAATCTGTAGACTAGACATACCCCAAGTACACTTCTAGGCTGTGTCTAGACTACATGCCTCTGTCGGCAGAGGCATGTAGATTAGACAGATCAGCAAAGGCAAATGAAGCCGCGATTTAAATGATCGTGGCTTCATTTACATTTACATGGCTGCCGCGCTGAGCCGACAAACAGCTGATAAGCTGTTTGTCGGCTCGCCGCTAGTCTGGACGTTTCCCCTGTCGACATCAAAGCCCTTTGTCGGCAGCCCCGTTATTCCTCGTGGAGGCATGTAATTTAGACTTACCCCTAGACTACAGGCTTTGTCGACAGAGGCTTTGTCAACAGATACTGTCGACAAAGCTTATGTCGACAAAGATCATCTAGATTATAGCCAGTTCTGTCAACAAAGCAAGCCCCAGACTCCCCCAGAAGAACATCAATGAGTGTAGACGCAAAGGTCAGTGTAGATGCAATAGGCTAGACGCAGGTGTAGTTTTGTCAACAGGGGTGTGTCTAGACTACAGGGTTTTGTCGACAAAAGTGGACAAAAACTATACCTGCGTCCACACTGCCTTTGAGTTATGTCAACATAATGTCGACAAGACTCAGCAGTTTTGTCGACGTATGTAAACCTCATTCTACGAGGAATAACGCCTTTTGTCGACAGAGTTCTGTCAATAGAAGGCATTATTGCATCTACACTGTCCTTTGCGTCCACACTGTTATGTTGACAAAGCAGCTTGCTTTATCAACAGAACTGGATGTAGTCTCGACGCTCTATGTCGACATAAGTTTTGTCAACAGATTGTCGACAAAACCCTGTAGTCTAGACATACCAAAAGTCCACTTTTGTCGACAAAACCCTGAAGTCATACCCCAACAGCTGGTCAGGACTTGTGTAGGGTGACTTTCAGCCTTCAATTCCAATTAAGATTAATTAAAATGACATTCCCTTTGCCACACCATGGCCACTCACCTTTATTGACCATGGATATCCCCTGGGTGAGTTCTCCAGAACAGACCGTGCTCACTTTGCAGGTAAATCTGGTACCTTGTCCCCACTGTGCTTGGGACACTGGATGGGAGCTGACCCGGCTGGTGGTCCCGTTGATGTTCTTCTTGGGGGCTTCTGTCTTCCCCGTAGAGTTGACCCTTCCGTCCACCTCCCAGGTGATTGTGATGGCTTCTAAGTCGTAACCCATAACTAGACAGGTCACGTGGCCAGAATTCATGATCACATCTTCGTAGGAGGGTTTCATCAAGTAGATGTTTGGCTCAATGGCACTTTTGGGACAGGCTGTGAAATGCAAAGAGAAATAGTGTGGAAGGCAAAAAAATTACACATAAGCCCTTGCAAACAATGCCGAGCTACCCCACAAATTTCCATAAAAAATTGGAAATTAGTACTCACAAAAGTGTTTTGTTTCAAAATGCTTAAGGGTGCTCCAAGGCTCATCTGATCACAACCTGAAAACCATGGGACTCTCAGGAGAAGTGGCTCTTGAGCTCCTTCTAACAGGTGCCCATCCCCCAAAATACCGTGGCCAATGCACCATAACTGGTTCCTTTATCTACCTCTGTGTGGTTGAGCGCTACAGAAATATCTACCATGGCTTAGAGTCATAGACAAGGCAGTTTAGAAGAGATCTCAGTGGGTCTAGTCCAGGCTTCTGCTCCAAGTTGGACTAACAAGCTTCATCCATCGGCCCTCCCATTATTTATCTATACACCCCTTCCACCACATCTACATCACCCCTCCCTCCTCTCTCTCTCTGTTTCCTCTCTACCGTGTCTCATCCTCTTCCAGCACCCTGGGGTCTAGGTGCTGCCTAGCCTACCTTTAGTCAGGGCTGGTTTCTCAGGAATTCTCCATGCCCCCTGCTCACCCCACGCGGCCGTGGGCCCTCACCCAAACACTTGCTGGTTTTGTGCATGAAAGGCTCCGTTCCCAGTGCTGGATGGGTGACTTGGCAGGAGAAGACATCCCCTTTCTCCCAGCTCTGCTTGGTGACTTTCAAGGAGGTCTCGCCCTTGTAGGCACCGTCTGGGCCCAACAAAGAGGAGAAGGCCTTGATTGGGAGACTCGTGGACTTTCCATTCACTAGCCATTTCACATTGGCTTTGTTGGGTCGGAAGCTCTGGAGACGGCAAACCAACTCCAGTTGGCTCCCTGTGGAGCCGTCCTCACAGGAGGGGGCCAGGAGGAGAACCTGGGGTGGCATCTTTGGACCACATGCTGAAAGCAGAGAGAGGGAACAAGACAGTTCAAGGTTAGTTACTGTAGACCATCAGCCCCCTTCCAGGAAGATGACACTGCAGTTATCCCAGCTCTAGCAAAATCCTCTCCTCTTTGACGCATGTTTCTATCCAATACTTTGGAGCTGAGATTTTTCACGGATATATAAGGTGATAAAGCAAATGGGAACAGGGCCCTTAAATATGTTATGCAAATGGCAACTGTCCCCTTGGGTTATTTCTACATGAGCGGCCTTAAGTGTGTTCTCCCTGGTAAACAACAGGGACAAAGCTGGAATTTGAGCTGTGTTGGTTTGGACTTCTTTTCCTCAAGAAGTGCTCCCTGTATAAGAGGGACTGTGGTGCGGCATAGCATGACATGGCAGCGGGTGACAGCCTGGGACAGGGCTGATTGTATCTGCCTGTGGGTGAAACATCACTGGCTTTAGTGGAGATGAGCTGATTTACAGCAGCTGAAATCCTGACCCCAGAAGGCCTAGATTTGCTACCCTGGGGGTTTCATTGGCAGGATGGTTCCATGGGACTGGCAGGGGAAGGGAATCGTCTGGCTTCTTTTGGGAGAAAGTGCCCAAGAGCAACATCTGTGTGAAGACCGGGCAGTAGGCCTGGCATACATCCAGGAAAGCTGAGCTAGTGGGGTTGCTCATCAGGCAGCTGGCTAAATGCTGGATAGGCATGTGGGGGCAGGGACCCGGTGCTCTGAGTCACCCTGGTTTTGCTTTGAGTCCTTTTGTATAAACAAAGCTGGGATTTGCACTACATTGCCTGATGTATCTCCACAAGCTTTTTGGGTTAGGGTCAGGGTTAAGGAGGAAGGCAATGAGCCAAAGTGTTCCCCATACAAAAGGGACAACCAGAGGATTTTGGGCCATGTCAGCCCAGCACTGTGCTTGATCATTCCCACTGTGCCAAAGGGATTTGGACACCATAGAGTCATAGAATCATAGAACACTAGGACTGGAAGGGACCTCGAGAGGTCATCGAGTCCAGTCCCCTGCCCTCATGGCAGGACCCAATACTATCTAGACCATCCCTGATAGACATTTATCTAACCTACTCTTAAATATCTCCGGAGATGGAGATTCCACAACCTCCCTGGGCAATTTATTCCAGTGTTTAACCACCCTGACAGGTAGGAACTTTTTCCTCATGTCCAATCTCAACCTCCCTTGCTCCTGTTTAAGCCCGTTGCTTCTTGTCCTATCCTCAGAGGCCAATATTAACATCTTTTCTCCCTCCTCCTTTTGATACCCAAGTTTTTTCCCTCCTCCTTATGACACCCACCATATTCCCAACAGAATCAGGCACCTAAATCCATGAAGGAGGACAGGAAAGTCCTCAACGGAACACAAGGCTCTGCCCATGCGTGCGTTCCACCTTAAGCGTTCCCACATTGTTTGACCTATTGGAAGGGATGCAAGGGAGGGGCATGGAGGGCATGCCCTGTGTTTCAACATTTCAACGCTTGTCCAGTGTGACATTCCACCCCCCCCACACAAGGCTCCAACAGGGATGAGGATTCCATATAATTGGTGTCAGGTCCACATGGACCATTGAAGATCACCGCCTTGCTGTCCCAACTGCTCCCGTTGCCTGTCTTACATTCCTTCGGGAACTCCGCGGACACTGTTCGGCTTGTCATATCGTGTGTCACGTCACACTGGTAGGTTTTGCCAATCCAGTCACCGGCAGGGATGGTGAGCAAGCTGGTCCTGGTGTAAAACCCGTTGCTGGCCAGCGTCTCTGGGAAATCTTGGCCCCACTTGGTGTCACCGCCAGAATTCCACCGAATTCTCACCAGGGACGGTGAATAGCTGGTCACAAGACACACAAGGTGTTTATCCTGGGAAGCACTGCTTGTCATGGTGCAGCAGGAAGACAGGGGGAAGACAGACGGAGCCGTGTTTCTTACTGGTATTAAAAAAATAAAAAGAAGAGGAGAGAAATCTTCAAATGGGTGAGGAATGTGAAAACATATCGATCAGCCTACCTATTAACATTCAGACCATTTACCCAGTTTATTCAGATCCTTTTCAAATACACTTCTCTCCTCCCCAACACCTGCAACCCCTTTGGATGGATGGGGACATGGAGGAACGGAGAGAGGACATAGCTTCTCCAACCTGACAAAAGGCACGTCTAGACTACAGGCTTTTGTCAACAGAAATTTTGTCGACAGATACTGTCGACAAAGAACATCTAGACTACATCCAGTTCTGTTGACAAAGCAAGCCGCATTGTCGACATGACAGTGTAGATGCAAAGGACAGTGTAGATGCAATAACGCCTTCTGTGGACAGAGCTCTGTTGACAAAAGGCGTTATTCCTCGTAGAATGAGGTTTACAGCCGTCGACAAAACTGCTGAGTTCTGTCAACGTTATGGCGACAGAACTCAGCGGCAGTGTAGGTCTAGTTTTGTTGACAAAAGTCCACTTTTGTTGACAAAACCCTGTAGTCTAGACATACCCAAAGAGACTCTGTGATTGGACAGGGGACTGAAGCCAACTCCCTGCCTCCTTTCCTCGGTGTGATGACAAGATGCTGTGTTAAAACTAGAGATGAGCTGTTCCCAACTTACAGATGGCCAACATGTGCTCTTTCCCCACTTGTTTCTTCCCGTCTGTGAAAATGGATCCTTCAGCGTCTGGACTCTCCAATCTACCTCTGAAATATTATCATGCTGAGGGTAAATTCGCTGCAGTTGAAATATCTACTCCAGGGTGGTTCTCCCACCACTGCTGCTTTTGGGGGGTTGAGGTCCTTAGTGAGGGAGGTCTCTGCCCGATTTGAATCTTTCAAGCAAGTTTTGGGGTGTCATTCTAACTGTGCTGTCTTAGCTGGAACGTGGGGGCTTGGCACAGGCATCACCAGGGGACCCCTCACTGCCTGGGGAGTGATAGATCAGTGGTTTGAAGAATTGACCTACTCAACCCAAAGTTGTGGGTTCAATCCTCAAGAAAGCCAACTGGGGTGAAAATCTGTCAGGGCTGGTAGTTGGTCCTGCTGTGAAGGCAGCAGATTGGCCTCAATGAGCTTTCAAGGTCCCTTCCTGTTCTAGGAGATAGGCAATCTCCATTTGTTTATATATTTTTTTTAATGCCAGCCATCCTATCTTCTGCTCTGAAGTGCCACAAATCAGTACATTCTAAACGTGCCCAGTGGCAGGAACAGTCCACCAACATCTGTGGTTCCAGGAAACCCACACCTACTCCTTACCACCTTCACAAGAGCATAGAGGAGAGAGATATTTATACATTGTCTATCTATCTATCTATCTATCTATCTATCTATCTATCTATCTATCTATCTATCTATCTATCTATCTATCCCCACACACCCCCTCTATCTATCTGTCTGTCTGTCTGTCTGTCTGTCTATCTATCTTGGAGAGTGGTGAAGCACTGAGATGGGTTCACAAGGGAGGGGTAGAATCTTCATCCCTAGAGGTGTTGAAGTCCTGGCTTGACCAAGCCCTGGCTGGCATGATTGAGTTGGGGTTGATCCTGTTTTGGGCAGTGGGTTGGACTCGATGACTCCCGAGTTCTCTTTCAGACCTGTGATTCCCACCTCCCCAACCCCGAAACCTCAAACTTCTCTGACCTCTGCAGCTTTCATGCCCATCTCTCTGGGGAGAAGCAACCAACAAATAAACAAACAAACAATGAGGCTAAAAAGAGGAAGTCGGTACCACTGAAAGTCGCACCTCAGTTATTTTTGCACCTCGGGTTCCCGCCTCGGCCCTCGCTCAGTTATGGGAATTTCACACTTTCTAAGCAGCTGTAACCCTGAGAGCCCCCGCTGGGTGTTGTCCAGTGTTCTCGGTTGACGCTTGTCTTGACTCTCATTTGCGGGAGGAGAGGGACTGTCTCAGCGGCACAGATCCCTCAGACACACGGCACGACAGACACCGAGCAGCGCTGGGCTCTCGTCCAGAATCCCTGGCCCAGAATGCCCGGCCACAACACACCATGCCTGGTCATTCGGTCAGTGAACTCTTGGCTTGTCTTATGAGTGCGGGGGGGGGGGTCCAGGTGGGCTGAGGTCTCCCCTGAGTCTAAAGACCAGTGGGGAACATCCCCCTGTGCAGACACAGTAGGAGGCCAGGGTGCAGCGCATGGCTCCTTCTGCATGGCCTAGGTGTGCTGAGAGCCTGAGAGAGGTAACCCAGGGGTCTCCCCTGAGCTCTGAAGAGCACGGGGGTACATCCCCCCGTGCAGATGCAGTAGAGGGGCAGGGTGCAGCGCATGGCTTCCCATGCATGGCCTGGATGTAACCTAGGGCAGGCTCTGCCCCCCCAAAGGCAGAGATGGGGGGACAGAGCTGCATCCTCACACCCCACCCAGCAGCCAGGAAACCAGGGGTGAAAGGGCTCCATGGTCCCAAGAGCCCAGGAGTGGGGGCACCCGCAACAGATCTGGGGGAGCCCAGAACCGAGCTAGCAGGGGAAGCAGATTTCAACTGAGGGGCACCAGCAGCGCTGGGTGGGAAAGCTTCACTGGCATGGGCTGCAGGTGGAGAGTGAGGGGCTCCGGTAGGGCTGGGGTTTTCGGGCTAGGCCGGCAGGGTCTTCAGGTCAGGAGTGAGGGGCACTGGCAGAGCTGTGACAAGCCCAAGGCAGGGCTGCGGGGCTGTGGGTGAGGAGTGAGGGGCACTGGGGGAACCTAGCCCTGCTAGCAGGAATTTCAGGTCAAGAATCTAGGGTTGGGCTAGCAGGGTGTGTGGCTTGTGAGTGCTGGGCACCAAGGGGGCAGAGGAAGTACAGGTTGCATATTGGAGTAAGGGGTGCTGGCAGGGCTGGGGGAGCCCAGGGTTAGCAGGGCCTGTGGGTTGGGAGTGAGGGGCTCCAGCAGGGCTGGGGGAGCCCAGGGCTGGGCTAGCAGGGCCTGTGGGTTGGGAGTGAGGGGCTCCAGCAGGGCTGGGGGAGCCCAGGGCTGGGCTAGCAGGGGCTGGGGGTGGG